AGATATAATTTGCCATTTATCAATGCTATGTAAAGTAGTTAGTGAAAATAAAAGCAAACACATGTATTTTAGAATTAGAACTTTTGGGGAAAAGAAGTTGTGGAAACTCATATTTATTAATGGTAATGTCTTTTTTATTTTTGAAGCAGCAGTTGGTGAAATTTCTGACATGACATAATAAATTGGCCTGAATATAGTTCTTTGAATGATCATTATGGAACTTCCTAGTTGGTGAAAAATATGACTGCTTTTCACAGAAACATTTCATATCTTGGTAGAATAGTACCCTCATATATTTGAAGATACTGTTATCACTATTAGAAGTGATAATTTTAAATTAAAAAAATAAGATGTCAATGGAAAATTACTTTGTTTGACACAATCAGATCCACACAATTATTTAAGGTGACCACTCTCTGCTTCTGATGTTAGCAGATGACTTCTGTTGGATTTTATATGTATTTTTAACTCTGATCATAGGCTCTCCACCTACTCTTGGAAAATCCAGCTCGTGGTGTTCCAGTGACTTCATTTTCATAACAGTATTCCATTCATAAGGAATGCCAGGTTTCTACATATAGGCTATTCTGCATTTATGGTTACTACAGAACAATATGATTCTTCCTCATTTTCTAAAATAAGTATACTACAAAGGTGTTGTAATTCATTTTGATAAAGTGAACCTTACTTTATCATCCATGTATTAACATAAATATTAATTTGCATTCTTATAGGAAGTAGGCATGCAGAGAAACCTAGTCAACAAAATTAAATATCGTTAGTGTCACACATGTTAGGATTAGATTCAGAGGCATATAAAAGAAGAATCCATCAGAATGATGACCTAATATGATAGAAGTGTCTTCCCTCCTGTTTTAACTCAATCTGGAGCTAATCCAGGGCTGTTATTGAAGCTCTACAGTCATGTATGGGGTAAGTGAGACTCCTCTGTAGCCATGCCACCATACTGAGTACACACCTTCATTTTAAGGTTGTCTCCTAAAGCTCCTGATTGCATGTCTATTTCTCCAGGCAGCAGGAAGAAATACTGAGTGGAGGGCAAAAGGGGTGCATCTTTTGACATGAATTCCCTTCCTTTGAGGAGTCTTTGGGGACACCTTTCAATATAAGCACTCCATGTAATTCACCAAGACATAAGCAAAGTTGTTTTTTTTTTAAACTTTATTAACTTATCTTTACTTACATGTAATCTTAAGTCACAAGGAAGATGGGCTGTCAGTTAGCTGGTATTACACATCTTGAATAAAATTGATGTTCTGTTCTTCGGAAGGTGAGGGTAGAAATTGAGTGGAGGATTCTGTCAGAGTTTGACTGTAATCACCATCCAACCTCACAGGCATTTGTACCAGATTCAGAACTTATTCCTTTCCAATTTTACTTTTGTCTCTTACTCTTTTTCAGACCATGGGAATATCTTCTGGGATAAGAGATGATTTTACCAGTCCTACACATTGATTTCCTATGAATAGGATTAGGCATAAACACAAGCCATATTCCATTTTGGAAACATTTCAAGCCTAGTGTTCATAATCAATAACATTAGTTATACTTTACTAAGTTCAAAACTTTGCTTTAACAAAAGTTAACTATAGTAGTAGTACCACTGTATCAACCACAAGCCTCTCTATTCTCTTTTCTTCCCTTCCCTTTCCCTAAGCCCTTCATAGGTTAAATATGCCTGATTTTCTACTAATTCTGTTATTACATCATGTTCTCTGCTGCCCAGCTCAGCCACCTTCATTCGTATGACTTTATCACTGATTAACAAGATGTCAACAGAGTGCCACAAAAGATCCATCATTTTTGATACCCAATATAAAGCATCACTCCACTTTCACTTCTTGAGTTTGCCTACAGCTTTCTATGAGATTTTTTCCCCTCAGTCCTAAGCAGGAAACAGATTTGCAAGGGCGTGTTGTGACATGATTAGCACGATACTCACGCTTGCTTGTTTTCCTATCCCTGTGTTATATGGGAGGCAGAGTTAATGTTAGAATTAGAGACAGAGGGATCTAAGGTTTTGTCAGACTGCATTATCTTTTAAATTGTGAGAGTTTTACTAACAGCACATTCTGGTACCCTGATCAGGTCAAGCTAACATAGCAGTCATGACAGTGACTCAATTCTACATAATTGCTCACCACTACACAATACAAACAGCTCCATTCTGAATAAAAATCAAGTACGTCTGTGTGATTCCAGCGATCAGTTCCTAGAGAGCAGTGGAGAAGTTCTCCACCTTTTCAGGGTCTACGTATGTGTGGGTTCTCACTAAATATGTGTTAAGAGCTGAGTATCATTCATAAGCTAGCTCTTTCTAATTTTGTATTAGGTTTTTAAAGAACTAAATAGGCCAAGTGCCATTTCATTTAATCCTTATTTTGACTGAATGTACATTCTAGATTCTTCTCTTCTTGTGTCTCCTTTGTGCTTTGCAGCATATATCATCAACCTCATTCTTTTTAGGTTATCAGCAGTTCAGATTTTCCCTTGCTGATTCCAGATTTTTTTTCTCACCCGTTTTAAAATAACTGTAACTATATGATTTATGATATTTTTTTACTGGGAAAGTCATCATTATAAGTAACAACAGTAAGTACAATTTAAAATATTTTATGTCTTTAACTCATAACAACTCTGAAAAAAATAGGTATTATAATTCCATTTTATAGAAGATGAGGCTGAGGGTCAAAGACGTTAAGTATCTTAAGTAAAATCAACTGTTAGGTTGTGGTGTTACCAGGATTTAAAGGCAGGTATGTCTAATTAGAAAGCCCATGCATTTTAATGAATGGATCATTTGACCATTAAAAAGCAGGTATATTAAGATAAATTCATTCTGAATGAGAATATTTCATAGCCCCAGAGATGCCTGTAATTATATTGAGGTATGTAAGCAAAAAGTGCAAGAAGCCAGAAGCTGTCCCACTGTTTTTAAAATGTTTGGCATTGTCCATTTAGGGGACCATAGAAAAGAGCATTGCATAGCACAAGGGAAAATAAGGACAAAAATGTATTACTGATTTTAAAAGGCTCCTTTTGCAGCATCAAAAAAAATTTTTTTTTAATTTTTAAAAATTTTCTTCTCTTACCAGAAAACCACCTATTTAAAAAATGTTGCAAAAATCAGAACAAAAGTGTGTCAGGGCCAAAGGAATGGTCTTTCTGCAGTGAGTTCAGCCTTCTTCATTCGTGAATCAGGCTTAATAATATGAAGATATTGCTGGTATATTTCCATTGGACGTTGCCTCTGACAGTTCTGCCAAAAAGAGCCATTTTTAGAACTGAGAGCCCATGGATGAATTTCCTATTTGTATAGGGCTGTCACAACCTCTCACATTCTCAAGTGTGTGAAGGGACTTGAGGTTGAATAGTAAAGCTGTCTGCAGGTGTAGTCTCTTACCCTCAGTGTGACTTTGCAGCTCTTGAAAAACAGCTTTTGAGGAAAGCTGTCTGTTTTGATATGGATGGTGGCGAGAGTTATTTATATATTGTGGAGTCAATGTGAGGCCTTGGTGAGGAGGAAATTCCCAGCTAATGAGCTAGCATCTGGGCTTGGGTCAATGTGAAGTACAATATAGCTTTCAAACTAAATGGTCATCAGCAGAGTTTGGGTGTGTACATGTATTTGGTATTTCTATATATTCTTTAATGTTGATAGGGCGTGAGTGGAATCTGTACTTCCACTATTCTAATCCCATGTGGCTAAAGCTTGGTCATCAATCTTCCTGGCCAAGAAACACCTTTTTACCCCCTCAACTTTACTAAATCCACATAGGTGGAGAGGAACATACCTATTCATTAATGTTAGTTGCTGGTTCAAATGGCTTACAGGCCCCAGTACAGCATTAAATAAACCTCTATAGAAAGCATGCAAGTCAGAGCAAGTTCTGTCAAGTTTGTTTTAGACATCAAGGCCATTTATAAAATAAATTCTTTTCTGAGTTTTATGTGCTTGAAGAGATGAATATACTCTTAGTTTTTCACACCAGCAGGTTTGAATCTCTAATTTTTCTGTCCAAATAATATTTTATTTTTAATTCACCGAACTGTTTTCTTCACCAAAAAATAATCCTATGAAGGTGAATAATGTAGGTCATTAAAACCTGAGAATGTCTGTCTTACTCTATGTTGTTGGTGTGTGGGGTGTATGTGTGTCTACATGCATTTGTATCTGTATATGATGCATCCATTTGGAAAGTTAAAATATCATTTTCTTGAACTGCATAAAAGAAAAATTGTTTATTTTGTTTTTTCTTAGATATGTCATTTTCTGTCTGAGTCCTTACTTTAGTATCTCACAGATTCAGATTTATAGCAATGAGAATTACCTGCTATCAGGTGATAGCCAATCCAAATGTGGAGAACTATAGTATTAAGTGATTATATCTTGTTAATCCATATACTGTTTTTCTAGCAACATTCACTAGGCAACCATACTCAGACTTAATAAAGTAATATACATAGTGACCAAATAATCATGTCATGAGGTGTAGTTGTGTTGCTATGCTATAATTTGATTTTTAAATTAAGGCTACTGGAAAAAATAGTGATTAAAATTTATGTAATACAAATTCTATATTCCATGATTATCGTCCTTTATATTGGGCACTGTAAACACAGTGGCACACAATTTTTATTTACTTGATGATGGTGTAATTGCCCTCTGTTCTGCATCCCCACTGGGTGCAGCTAGGAAGAGACTAACCACTCTTACCCTCAGGCCATTCAGCTTGGCATGGTGGCACTGCTTTCCCGACTATAGTAGTATTTTACTCTCAATGTTGCTGCTCTGTTTGAATTCCTAGAAGGTCGTTTTGATGGTACACGTGTGCCAGTGATTTCTAGAATAAACTGAAGAACCACATTTGATGATTATGGATTGCATGAGGCCCCCAAGAAGGTTCATTTTTCTAAGAAAGTATTAGAAGGCCCGTTGGGTAAACTGAAATGCCTGGGTTCCTTTTGTTTCTTAATAGAGTCGGCTCTGGAAGGTCTTGATGATCTAGGTACAATTTACAGCAACGTTGACCAGCAGCTGAATGAAACGATAAGGCGCCGCAGACATACAGGAGAAAACGGTTACAACATCGAGGTGCTGCTGGGAGTGGATGACTCCGTGGTCCGTTTCCATGGCAAGGAGCATGTTCAAAACTACCTCCTCACCCTGATGAACATTGTGAGTAGTCAGTCCTTTTTGAGGCTGTTTATGATTTAAATCACTTCATTTGGTTCGCTAGTGTCCTGTGGAAAGCTACACAAGAACCTTCACAACTGCCCCTATCCAGCACGTGTAAGATAACTGCTTTAAATTCTCATTTTGTTGTACATAATTAAAATGCAAAGTGCAAAAGCAAAGGAAGCATGAAATAAAAGGTTCATTTGATCGACCAACTAGTTTTCAATTGGCATAAGGGGAAATCTATGCATTTTAAAAGTCATGATGCGATGTAATTATAATGAGTCATGATTTTCACCTTGTTCTGGGAATAATCAAAATGCTGAAGGCTTGTTCCACCTGCCTTGATGTGGACTGTGAGGAATAAACATTCTCTCCAGTGTTGTTCTGCATCCCAGGACAATGAGGAATGTTCTGTACCCACAGAGGTTTTGAGTAAATGTGATATCTTCAGGATTTGAAGACAGATGGTTACAAATATACAACTCCTGGTACCTGCTGCACAGGAGCTGCTTAAGGAGTCCTTTTTTTTTTTTTGACACTTAGCTAAACTATCTTTAATGGACAAAGGCAAACTGAGTTATTGCCAAAACTAAAAAATGGTAAGTTTTAAAATTTGTTCTTTATTTCAGAAGAAATTTTGTCATTATCCTAAAACTGATATTCTTTTTCTTTTGGAATTGACAAAGAATAATTGGATAGTAATAATAAGTAATAATACAGGCTCCTTACCTTTAAATGATAATTGAGACAGTGGCATACTCTTATATGTTTTTCCTTATGCCATTTTTAAATGCACACTAAATTGAGCTTGCAAATTTATTGCCTAATCCTATTCACTCTCTCTGCTTTTTGCCTTATAGTTTAATTTCTTTGGATTGTCTGCCTTTTTGTTTTCCATGATTAAAATTAAATTTCATATGCTTATCCTGAAGAAGAAAAAACATCTTGATCTTAGAAATCATGGTTTTATTTATATTAATATTTAAGTCTATCTGTGCATCATATTTTTGTTTATTGAGCTGTCAAATTATAAAATTATGCATGTGCCATATCACTGTGATGGGGCAATGAGTATAGAAACTCAAACACTTTTATATTTATTCATTTGTACTAATTCCTGTCGTGAAGGTGAAATAACATACATTAAACAAATTACTAGGTTTGGTAATAGGTATGAATTGATCTATAGTTGGGTAATCCTGTACATGCTATTAAGTTTGCACCATTGCTTCAGTCTCATTATCTGTATAATGAGAAAAATAATAGGAATAAGGAAAGAAATAAATGAATAAGTATGAATCATGTGCTTTGTACAGTAGTGTAAGTACATGAATCAATATACAATCATATTTTGGTTTTCCACATCAAATTTTATTTTCTAAATTGTCTAATACTGAAAACTTCCTGTGGAGATGCTGTTCTCCCTTGCATCATTCATTGTACCCCTGGGCAGCTTTCTTCCACCACTAAGTAGACAACCAGTATAGTATAATTGGTGCTCAAAACTACAGAGGGCTCTGGGAGCATACAGAAGAGATTTTATTGGTCTTTGTCCTGGCAGACATAGTCAAAGTAAAAAGATAAACTCATGAGAAAATTAGAAAAAAGTTAAATGAATAGAAAACATGCCATTATTAAGACGTATTGATGGCTCTGTAATTTAAATGTTGCAACATTTTAGAAAAAGGAGCGATGACCATGGCCATCTCATGAAGTGATCAGAATATTAAATTGGGACTTAAGAGAGTGAAGCATTAGTTCTAGCCTTGCCTACTACTGATTGGCTGTTTTGCCTTAGAGAACTCATGTCCCTTCCTGGGACTTTGCTTCAGTGTTTTTAAAATTGAGATTCAACAAATGTTGATTTATTCATCCAGAAGCTCGGAGTTAAACGGAGTCTTTAGGGATTTGGTTTTCTCTTGTTTATTTTGATTTTTTGAGATTAATGTTCTGAAAGCATGTGCCACTTGACCAAGCTCACAGGCCAGTGCAGTGACATGCTATCTGACTTCATAACCCTTCTCTTAACTGCTGTTCTGCAGGGCTTTCTGGAGGAGGTAAGAGAAACAGAAGATGAGGTCACTTATTGATAGACTAGGATCAAATTACAGTACATACGCCTCAAAGGCTCTGCTAAGGGGTATGTACTGGATTTCACAGACAGTGAGAATGTGTGATCAGCTCTTACTGTCAGAATTCTGATGGCTGCATGGAGAGTGGTTTGGAGAAAGAAGTAAGCCTCCTGTGTGGTTGAAGAGAGATTTGATGAGGGGCTGAATCTACGTTGAAGCATGACAATGGAAATGGGAAAAAAACTGGAAATTTTAGGTTGACTAAATATATTCCTTATTCTTATTTTGCTAGGACTATGATGATTCAAGAATCTAGTCATTCTAAATAAATTGACTTTATTAACTAAACTATAAAGAGAGAGAAAACAAGAATCATTAATTTAGTTGCAGTAATTCCTGAATGCAGTTCAAATTTGGAATAAACAAGTAATTTAAAATTCAGTAAGGTAGATTTTTGAAAAATATCAAAATTGGCATAAAGTCATTGACATTTAGCACAAGTTTATGTATTGTGTCCATATAGAATTCTTTATTAATCTCCTAAACAATGCTAGTGTGGTCTTAGTTATTCCAGTTGATGGACGCTTTGTTTGATTTTAAAAACGGATCAAAAACATTTGTTTTGAATGGATTAAAAACATTTGACATTTATCAATTTATTCCATGTTATATGGCATGCAGCCTTACCATGCTTAGGCATTGCCTATAAGAAGGTGAGGGTTTTTTGGTAGCTTTGGGATTTGAACTTAGGGCCTCATGCTTGCTAGGCAGGCAGCCCACCACTTAAGACACAGACCCCGAGTCTGAATGGTTTTTTTTGTTGTCGTTGTTTTTTTAAATAAAATTTTACCAACAAAGATTGGTGGCAGTACTTGTGCTAAACCATATAAGGAAAGGAAGGGAGGGAGGAAAGCTTTGAATTGAAAGGAGTTTGGTTATGTAGTCAATTAAGAATGATTTGAATGACTTTTGAAAGGGGAATTTTAATATTAGAAAAATAATATGCTAACATATCAACTTTATATAAAGTTTAAATTAAAAGTTTGATCCAAGAATGTCATTCTTGAGTTTGTTCTAAATTTGTAAAATGTTCAGTTCTCTAAGAGGTTTTATATAACTTGCCACAATACCTTATCCTGTGGAGTTTTGACACTTTTGTTCTTAGCAGGTTAAGAACAGGAAACAGGATTTGGTAAAGGCCATGTAATAAAAACAACTCTCCCAGATATGAAAATTTGATTTGCAGGGAGTATAACTGGTTGGAGAATCCTGTAATTTTTACGGGAACTTGCTAAGTTTTTATTAAATTGTTAAGTAAAAATCAATTAAAAGGGCACAAAAGATGTACTCATTTGTTCCCATCGTTTTTAAAAACTAGAATGTCTTGTAGCCACCTCACTCTTACCTAGTATTTACCATAAATAATCTTGCTTTTGCAAATCTCGGGCATTTTCTTTCTTCACATGTTTTATACATTTCAGTGATGTTTTAGGGTACAGCTTTTTGTCTCCTTTCTTTGCTTCTTCAGTGCCTTCCTGCTTAACACATTTATTTATGACAAAATAAAGGAAACATCATCCATTCCAAGAGTGACTAAAATGAACTTATCTGCCTTGATTTCTTGTCTAGCAAGCCAGAAAATAGTTGAGTTTTATACTCATTAGTAATAGAGAATCACAAAATCCATGTATAGGAAATACTAGTCAGAATTTCAAGTTGTTACTTGTATAAAAGTGAATCTATTCTTTCAACATTTATTGAACCATCAGTAAAATGATCCCTGCTCTCAAGATGCTTATAATTTAAGGGTAAAACTACAAATCATGGGCTTTTACACTTGGAATGATTTTAGAAGCTTGTTAATGCAAGCTCTTCATTTTGTGGATGAGGAAGTAAAGGCACAAATATCCTCTACTATTTTGATTTCTGTGACTGTTGTTGGTTAGAGGAAATAAGACATTTCAGAAAAGCTCCTCTTTTTGTAACTTCTGTCAAGATCTGGAACATGGTGGGTGATAGGTATGGCAGCAGTTACAGTCCACTCTCATGCATTTGTTCTTTGTCCTCCAAAACAGCCTCCTTTCCTTTGTTCCTTCTGCTCCATCTCCATTCTTTCTGGTGAGATTTCATTTATCTGGATCAGGATGAACTACTAGTTCCTTTGAACCCTTTACAAATTATTCCCTTGTTAGTGTAAGCTATGTGAATTCCCTGAGAGCAGTTTTCTAGAAGGCTGTTGTTCCTTGAGCATAAATATTGTCTGTTATTAAGTGTTATATTTATAGCATCCAAACTAGTGATTGCCACATAGTAGACATATAATAACATTTTCATTGGTTCAGTCTTTTTTAACAAATAGGAAGTGGTGGACACAAAAAATTTATCTCCTGTCCACAGCAACTTACGGACTAATAGAAAATCAAATACACACATCGTAGGTATATAAGAGCTATGCAGAGAGCCAATAATTTGCCAGGAATAAAAGTGATGACCAATGGGTGAGAGGAGTTATACATAGACATAATGGTCAAGAAAGCCTTCTCTCTGTTAGCACATTGGCTCATGCTGTAATTCCAAGATACTTAGAAAGCAAAGATAAGATGATTGCAGTTTGAGTCCAGCCTCAGCAAAAATGTCACTGAGACCCCATCTCAACCAGAAAGCTGGACATAGTGGCTTATTTTATAATTCCAGCTACATATGAGCTATAGGTAGGAAGATCACAGTCCAAGGCTGGCCTGGACAAAAAGTGTGAGATCCTATCTGAAAAATAACTAAAGCAAAAAAAGCTAGAGGCATTGTTCAAGTGAAAGAGTGCTTGCCTAGCAAGTGCATAGTCCTGAGTTCAAACCCAATATCATTAAAAATACCTTTTCTCAAGAACTGATGATTACATTGAAACTGACAGTAAAAGAGCCAGCCATT